AAAACCTTGCCATGCAAACCCAATACACCTTGTTAGTACCAAAAGTACTTTTTGGATTTTAATAGAATTTTTTTTAAAAAGAGTCTTGAATTGCAACATTTAATTGAGAATGATATCCATCTTTTTGAATGGCAGTAATCATAGAGAATACGTGCTTATTCATAAATCACATTTTAATGTTATTCTTAATGTGTACTATTTTCTGTGGAGTATATTGGGTGGAAGATATCATTTACTGAGGACAGCAAAGACTGTAGGGCTTCTTTTAGATTTGGTCAGTCAAGATAGAACTTCTGGAGACCTAGAAATTTTTTTGCCTTTTATATGTGGTGTTTTGTGTTGTTTTTCATCTGCCTGTAAGTAGCCCAACTTTTATAACTTCCAAAACAATAGTTTTGTAGTATAGTGACATCTTGCCTTAGAGTTGGCAGGACAGAGAATTTGAGGATCTGTTGTTGTTGTCTCCATATGAGAGTCAGGGATGGAAGACTTTCGACTGGTCTTGCTCCCAAGTCTGGACAGGAAGTTTTCCAGGTAACTGAGGAACTACCTCTTTCAGGGCTCTAGGTGGCTGCTGCTGCTGTTCCCCTCTGCCAGCCATCACAAGTACCAGGAGAAGGCTGCGAGTTTTACTGCCAAATGATATTTTGTGTGTGTCTGTGCGTGTGCACATATGTGGCATGTGTCATTTCTCATGTTTATCTCCTGTCTGGTAGATAATTCCTTTTGCTTTGCTGAAAGAAGAGTCCTGGAGGAAAATTGAAATTATAGGACTTAGAGGAATTATACTTTTTACATGCCTTGGTTGTTACTGTATTAAAAAAGCTGATGGTTCTCTCTCCTTCCCAGTATTTACAGTTTGAAAACGTAAGGTTGTTTTTATGAGGTTGTTTTCTGTCCTTAGAACTTCACCAATGGCACATAGTAAATGTGTTCAAGTGCATCAAGTATAATTCTGTCTCTTCTACCACATGTTTATTAACTGTAGAAGCTGGCATACCATAATACCTGTCCTTTGCATTGTCAAACGGATGGTGTGGAATCTGTGTTCTAACAGTAGACCTTTCTTGGGCTAAATGAACCTTTCTTGGGCTAAATGAACCTTTCTTGGGCTAAATGAACCTTTCTTGGGCTAAATGAACCTTTCTTGGGCTAAATGAACCTTTCTTGGGCTAAATGAACCTTTCTTGGGCTAAATGAACCTTTCTTGGGCTAAATGAACCTTTCTTGGGCTAAATGAACCTTTCTTGGGCTAAATGAACCTTTCTTGGGCTAAATGAACCTTTCTTGGGCTAAATGAACCTTTCTTGGGCTAAATGAACCTTTCTTGGGCTAAATGAACCTTTCTTGGGCTAAATGAACCTTTCTTGGGCTAAATGAACCTTTCTTGGGCTAAATGAACCTTTCTTGGGCTAAATGAACCTTTCTTGGGCTAAATGAACCTTTCTTGGGCTAAATGAACCTTTCTTGGGCTAAATGAACCTTTCTTGGGCTAAATGAACCTTTCTTGGGCTAAATGAACCTTTCTTGGGCTAAATGAACCTTTCTTGGGCTAAATGAACCTTTCTTGGGCTAAATGAACCTTTCTTGGGCTAAATGAAATGCTTTGGGGTAGGGAGGACAGGAGAAATATTGAAGACAAATGTTGTTTATCCTATTGTAGCTTATAAGATTAAAATGCTTTCCCACTAAGTGCTGCTACTAATGTTAAACTTGTATTCATATGCTTAAATTACCTGTTTCTTGATTTTTATTTTTTTTTTTAGTCTTGGCCTTCATACATGCTTAAGCTCATATAATAGGATTTTTCAAATTATTTGTGTGCATGTCTGTGAAAGATATTTGTTAATAGAAAATTAATTATATTAAATTAGTTCAAGTAAGTAAAGATGATGCTTTGTTTCAAAGTAAAAGTCCACACCGGGTGATAAAATTGTCAAGAAAGTTTGCATGTTTAGCTAAAGCTGTGTAATAAATAGTGTATAGGTCAGAAGTTTCATTTTTTCTTGTGACCTTGACTATTTTTGTTACTAGCTTAATTGCTAATTATTTGAGGTGTAGAAGAATCCTGCATGGTATGTGCAATATTTTGTCTTTTTCTTTTCCCATCCCCAGGTGCTTGGGTAAACCGTGGGCTAGGAATGGTAAAGGAAGCAGATGGTCAGTTAGTATGGACATACGCTGCTCAACACTTAGGCTACTGGATAGCAGCTCCACTGCCTGGAACAAGAGGTATTGCAAACACCTGGAAGGGAAATTAAGTAACAACGTATCATAAGGCTGTCAGTTTGGCTTTATTTAACAACAGAAAGGGAAAAATGGCATGCAGATTCAACAGTTGTATAGCTTTTGTTTGAATCCTGATAAGTGTGTCTTTGTGCATATAACCATTTCCTAGAACTTCAAATGCTATTGGGGGAAAAAAATCCAGACTGTGTGTGTGACCTTACATGTTTATACTATCGGCATCTTTTGGAAGAAGCCTGCAAGGGAACTGTGACTATGGAGATCTAAAACATTGGGACTGTATTCCTTACTGTTGAGGATCATGTATGACAGGAAGAAATAGCAAGCTGAAAAGGGAAGTATGAATGTAGTGCCATAGGAACACAAAATCACTGGAAAAGTACAATTTAACTTACTAGCTACAGTTCTGTATATCAAGCAGAATTATTTGGTTTTGAGAACTAATTCTTGTCTGGTTTTGTTTCATAATCTAGAATCCATTATTAGTGCAGTTTCCAAGGACATAACAGCCTATCACACAGTGTTCCTGACGGCCATACTGGGAGGTACTGTGGTCATTATCATTGGATTTTTTGCTGTTCTTCTTTGTTACTGCAGGTAAGCAAAAAGAGAGGCTCTATCAAGCTCAGCATGAATGGAATTTAAGGTTGATAAAATAGTCTTTTGAAGTTGAGACTTGTTTCCCTAGCTAAACTATAATGTGTAGCCTAATATTTCTTCAAAAATTACAGTTATTACAGAACTTCATTTTAAATTTGTGATGCCACATTACATTATAAATTCTTAAAGTAAATCTAGTCTTCAGCTCTGGTAGTCAACAGTCTAGTGTTTCCTAGTATGCTCTACAGTCACCTTGCATCTCTTTTGTCTAGGCATAAATGTGGTCGGACACAAAAGAAGGAAAAGAATACAACTAAGCTGGAGGTCATTAAAAAAGACCAGACAACATCAACAACTCATATAAATCACATCAATGCTGTGAAAGGGTCTTTAAAGTTAGAGGATAAGTCACAGTTATATACACCGAAGATTTCATACAGCCCCCAAAGAAGGATGTCCATAGACACAGAAGATGGAAAATCACGAGACAATTTTAAAATCTACACAGAGGATGCTCCTTATCAGTCATCCTGTCAGGCTGGTCAGTCAAGAAATCCAGCCCATTCAATGGACCCTAATGCTGGAGTCAGGCACTTACAGCAGCCAAAGCATAGTAACAGTACTATTTCCCAGGCTCCTAGGGACATTCAAGACCAAAACAGATACCTGTCACTGAAAGAGGAGATGTACGGGCTTTCACATGTCCCAGAACATCTAATGCATATTTACAATCAACCTATTGCTATTCTTCAAACCTCTGACCTTTTCCACTCCCCAGAACAATTGCATCCTGCTAAATCAGCAACTTTGCCAAGAAAAGGGCAGTTAGTATATAGCCCCATGATGGAACCCATGAATCGCGACAGTTACATGCAAACGTTACCGAAAATGCCAGTGCACTCTATTCCACAGCCCTCTGTCTGCAGAGATGAAAACAGTACATTAGACAGTGAAGAGGGCCTGCCTTCTCAAACGTCAAACTGGGGCCGATACACTAATAGCTTACTGGAATCTGTCTCTGTTCCTGGGACATTGAATGAAGCAGTTGTAATGACTCCATTTTCATCTGAACTTCAGGGTATTTCAGAACAAACGTTATTGGAACTCTCTAAAGGAAAACCATCTCCACACCCTCGAGCATGGTTTGTGTCCCTGGATGGAAAGCCCATCGCTCAAGTGAGGCATTCTTTCATAGATCTGAAAAAAGGCAGAAAAACAGAGAGTAACGACACCAGTCTGGACTCTGGTGTGGACATGAATGAGCATCATCCAAGTAGGAAACTGGAGAGGGAGAAAACTTTCATTAAAAATATGCCGCATTCCAAGATCCTTTACTTGGAAGATCTGGATATGAGTAGCAGTGAAAGTGGCACCACTGTTTGCACTCCAGAGGACCAGGCTGTGAGGCACATTCTGGATGGAGGGAATGGGCCAGTCATAGAACAGCATGATGAAGAAGGTCTAAGAAGAAAAACTGTATCAGGAAGTCATGAATCTGGTATCCCTTCTACTAAAAAAAGGGATAGACCATCTATCACAAAAAGAGATAGCAAAACCAATATCTGGAAGAAAAGAGAGGAGAGGCCGCTTATTCCTATAAATTAAAACACAATGTGCTTTGTGTTGTTGCTCTCCCTGCTAGTTATTGACCTCTTGGCTGCTTGTGTAATTCTGCAGTGTTGAGTTTACAAAGGAAATGTTGTTTTCTAGTTTCAAGAAAAGTTAACATTTTTTTTAATAAACAGATTGAGTTACTAAACTTCAACTGGGCGATTGGTATTCAATGTGAATTGATAACAGGGAAACACTACTATTAAAATTTTCCAGTTCCTAATTTTGCTGGCAGTATAGGGAAGGCCCACATTTTATTTAGCCTGTCATTCTTGGACACACCTCTGAGAATGCATGGTGAGAAATGTAGGCACATCTTTTAATTTTTTTTATACTTGTTGCTTATGCTTTGGTAGATTTGTTAAAGCCATTCCTCAGCCTTGTCCCTAATTAATGTGACCATCTGTACAGTATTTTATATGTGAAGATTTCTAGGGATCTGTTATTACTTCTTTGTATAATGTAAAATGTTTCATCAGTTAGTCCCACGACACCAGCAGATGAGCTCTGTTGGATCTCTCAATGGAGCTCTATAGCATTACTGCCCTCCCTGTGTGCCCATCCATGTGCAAAAGGTTTCCATTCCATATAGCAGCGGCAGAAGGGGCAAGTGTACAAGCTCTGTGGCCGCTGCAGTTCATGGTCTCTGCTGTCTTAAGATGTTGCCATCTGCTTTGTTTTGATCTGCTTTGTTACGAACTGTAGACGCTGAAGATTGGCATCTGCTATGAAGTGTCCGCATCCAGCAGAAAAGGACTGATTCCAGTAGCATTCGAAGCCGCTGCTACTACTGATCCCAGTGTCTTGTTTTGGCTCTGTTGTCAGTTAAAATCTTCTCTCCTGCATGCTGCTGGGCCAGTTGTGCTCCATGACGTAGTCTTGAATCTCTGCAGATTTATAAGTTAGAGTTTGGCCCGTAATGAAAAAGTATGCAAGTTTAGACAAATTATGCCTTTGAAATAGTTTCCTTTAGTAAGGAAGTTTGGTAATGCTGCTTCTTATTTTGTTTAAGAAAAATGGAAGATCATCAGAGGTTTATGTGCCTACATTTTGCCAGCCTGAGCTGCTTTTGTCTAGGTTGTGCATCGCAGAGGGGTTGAACAGGCTTTAAAAGTTGGGGCTTTTAGGAGCATGAGAGAGCAGATCGTAAAATTTGGTCTATAATGCAATATAAATACTACTTATGACTCATCTTAGAGTTAAATTTACCAAAAGTCATGAATGCATGAAATGTAACTAAGATATGTATAGAGGAAGGAAAAGGCCATCAGAATATTCTTTATTTTTAATGTTTGTCTTGTCAAAGTGATTGTTTCGACTTTGGCTAACAGAAAAGTAGATGTATCCCTTAATGTGCTTTATATAGCATGTAGAATGTCTCTCTGTGGCTTTGAAGCTGTTTCCCTGATGAAATAAGTTTCAGCATTTTGGCTTTGGCAGTTTGATTATAAGTCATCCTAAAAAAGCTTTATAAATATTTCCCTTTAAGCTTGATTAAGTTTCTGTGCTAAGACCCAAACATACAATGCCTATATCTGAATTCTGGGGTGAGGTGCACTCGGTTGTCTGCCCTATAGTACACTCAAGAGCTGGGAAGTATCCTATGCGGCTGGGCATCTGGGAATTTTTACTCAGGAAACATTACTGTGAAATATGTCTGTTATGTTGGGATTGTCAGTTGTCTGATCCTGTTTCTAGAAGAATATGCAAGGAAACCAGAATGGTACTAGCAATACATCAATCACACTTCTGGAGTGCAGTTGCTTTGTGAACAAAATCTGATGTTCCAAAGTTCACAAGTATGAAAGTGCAGATAGGTGTGTAAATGTCTATAGTTACATTGGCCAAAAGAATCTGGTTAAATTATACGGTTTGTCTACTTCAGAGGTGAAGATGACTTCTCATGTTAGCATGCCTTTGGTGCTCTTTTCAGGTGACTGTAATTCAATTTCCCTATGCCAAATACATTTTCACAATACTTTTTTTTTTCTATATGCAGGTCCACTGGATTTTGTGTATGACTAACTCTCTGCCCCCAAATAGTCATATTTTCATCCTTTGCTTTGTTACGTACATTAGTAGGAGTCAATTTATATATTTTGTGTAGAGGCAAACTTATTCTGAAAGCTGCTTTAACTTTTGAAGGTTTAGTATTTCTCTGCCTCCCTTTTCAAAAAGAGAATATTATATATTCCATTGAACGTAACAGAAAATCCCTGAAAGCTAATAGTTTTGAGGTGTTAATATTAAATTGATATATCTCTACTTTAAATTTTTTTCACCTACAGTAACTTAAATATATTGCAGATTTTTTTCAATGCATTTTTTCGTTGTATAACCAGAAAAGACCTAATTCCTCAAACTTGTATCATTAAAAAATGCAGACTAACGTAAGCAGGCTTTATTTGTGTGAGTTCAAAGAAATGAAGTTTTGCACTTTGGTTTTCTTGTTCTGCATCAGAGTAGGTATCTGGTCCCCAAGAAAAAGGATTAGAAATGTTGAAAAGATCAGTTATAACTTTGGGACTTCAAAGTAACAGTGCCAAAATATGTACTGATGTAGTGCAGATTCTCACCTGCTCTGCTAGCTGATGAAGAGCAAAGAGCCAGTTCAGTTCCGTACCATCATTCTAAAGGAGCTTCTGGCTGGCTGGATTAGTCACAGTTTTACCCTTCACATATGGTAGTGCAAAGTGGCCCATTTAAAGGCTGTACATCAGTGATGCACTTCAGCTTCTAGCCAGCAAAACAAGAGTGTAACAGATCTTCTTGCAAAGATTTCTTGATGCCAGACTTCTCAGTAGTAGGAAGAAACACAAACCCCATTTTTCTGAAGAACAGGCATCTCATCATATATAGGATTGGTATCTCTATTAGATAGTAGATCCTCCCTTGCCAGATGAGGGTGTGGGCATTTAATTAGTGGAGTATTTAAATTCTTTTCTGGAGTGCACATGCTGCAGTTCTGGTAATACCATTTCCAAGGCTGTCTTTAGCTGTTGCTTCTATCCATGCCAGTCAAGTGACAGCTGTCTTTGCTTTTGTAGGTCCCGTACGCCAGCTTTTCTGTGTGTAACTTGCTAGTGTTTATCACATAATGTCCTATACTGCTGGTTACACTTGAAAAGGCTTTTCTAAAGTTGAATTTTATATTAAAAATAAATACATAACTTGTTTTCTGTGTCAGAATGTGAGAAAACTATTCTGTAGGAAGAAATTATTGCTGCAGTTGTATCTGCAAAGATAAATGCTGCGTGAAAACAGCTGATGCCTCTAAGCACACAATGACAGGGAATTTTTCCTTGGCCCCATCATGAGCATTAAATCTTGCATTTTAAAACTCTTTATAACTCTAAAATTATTAGAATTATACTTCATATGTATACTCAGTATTTACAGAATATATTATCTGAGTCTTCATGTTCCAGTTGTATGTTGGAATTTATGCACTGGAAACCTGTATTACCTATTAGTGACTGGAATTGTTTTTTGGTTTAGATCATTAAAAAAAGGAGTTTAACTACACTGAGTTATAAAAATTTTAATTGCAGAGATAACCTACATGATGTGTAATGTGGAAAAGACAAAATGTTATAAAAAAAATTGTCTTTGTGGTCAAACTAATGCTTTTCTATATTTCTATAGTTTATTTCAACATATGAATTTATAGGAATAACTGAATTTATTTTTTAAGATTTTTTTCTGTTGGCTCAGTCTCGCAGCACTAGCAGAGTGCTAAAGTTAGGTCTATATAAGAAGTTGCAAGGATTTGGGGCACACTGCTCTTGGAAAGGCCAGGGAAACATTCAGAGGGTTTGACTTCTTTGAATCTGGAGGTTGATTACCTTGAGAATAAGTGGGCCATGCCTGAAGCACCTTTTAAAGTAAGCCCCCTCCAAGGAGAGGGGAATGAGAGGGAAAAGTTGGAAAGGATATAGCTGCTTTCTGATGTTTGTTTCCAAAATTATATGTATTTGTGCTTCAGTGGAATCGGTCCTTTTTTGAAGAACACAAATGTTTGCAAGAATAATGTTTCAGTTCTTCATAAGATGCTTCTTCAGCTGCCAGCTTTTGCAAAAAAAACACATCCATGTTCATACAGTTTTAAGTGAAAGGTGTCAGGTAGATAAAGAACACTCAAGACCAGATTTTGTCTTTTGTTTAGGGTGAAAGTACTGTCAGAAAATAAGAGCTCTGGTATCTTACAAACCTGAAAGCACAACTGATGTGATATTTAGGGACGTTATTTACCAACGTGGGGCTAGGGATGATGCACAATAACTAATCCAGGATGTAGGAATAAAAGTGTTTAGTTGTCTGCTTTGGTTTTATGCAGTAATTTGTACCAAAGAGGATGAAATGAATGAGCACCAGTCTAAACGCTTCTCTTAGTTAGAAACCAAAACAGCTTAACAACATTACTGATCTAACACTGTGCAAATTAAAAGGCAGTACACTACATCCATTATCTAGTACTGCATATTAGGAAAATCTGAAGGTAAATTAGCCTGCTGAAGTGCCTTTCTCTTTCATCAGACTTGTTTTATCAGTGGGACACCTGATTATCTGAAAAGCACATTATGGGTTTTTTCTGTTAGCCAAAAAACCCCTCAATTCATACTTGGAATTATGTAGCTTTTATAATATTTTAAAATGCAGATTTAGTGGTTTTTTATGTTGCAATACTGACTCCTGCATGTTGATGATGATGGTAATTGTTGTAAACTCTGTTTCTTTGTATTTTATGTTTGAAAAGAAATTTTAAAAAATCTATCTTTAGCAATCTGAACAGTAGTATCTTTTAAAAATGCACATATGGGATCTGATTCAGCTTCATAAGTCAAGAGAAAGCATCTTGAAGTCACTGGATTTACAGGTACGAAACTGACTAGGATTTTAACTTCAAAAATAAAGTTAATATATGTTTATATATTAAAAACTATTATAATGATAAAAATCATTTTTTTTCAGCTGCTAATCTTCCTTGCCAGTAGAATTAGAAAGTGTGTGGGGATAGTTACTTAATTCTTATTTTCTAGAACCAATTTTTATCTCGATTTGGAGCCTAATCTGCTTTGTTTATATAACACAAACCTCTGCTTTTTTTTTTTTTTTTTTTTTTA